AATAAATAAACTTCAGCTGGAACTTACAAAGGAACTGATGTCATAACCGTGATATGAAAGTATAATATTAGTGTATAATATAAATATAAAGTATAATATAAAGTATAATATTATGCGGCCCAGACTCTGCCTCCAGCGGCCCCCCAGGTAAATTGTGTTTGAGACCCCTGCCTTAGAGGCTAGTCTTTTCATGGTATTTCTTTTCCTTGTATTCCTTGTATTATCAAGCCTCTGGCATATGCCTTTATTGTATCCCATACGTTCTGCATTGATGTATCTTCTTTTTTGTTTTCTCTAAAGAAGAAAACCAGTTCTTTCTCCATCCACTGTATTAAGTCTTTTTCCTTTAATATAGTATTATTTAACGTCCATCTAGATCTTCTTCTTTGTCCTTTACATTTAATTGTCATTGGATTGTGATCTGCCCAAGTACTTGTTTCAATATTTATTTCTTGAATATTAGCTAACAATTCTGTTGACATCCATATCATATCTATTCTGGACCATGATAAATGTCTGTTTGAATAGAAGGTGTGTTGTTTAGTCTTAGCATTTCTTTTTCTCCATGTATCTTTTAAATTTATTTCATCTATCCTTTTAAAAAAAGATTTAGGGAGAGTCTTTCTGTTTTGCTTTGTTGTTTTCTGTGCTGTATAGTCCAATTTATTATCTACAATTCCATTAAAGTCTCCCATCATAACTATATTAGCATAGTCCAGTTCAATTATTTTCATATGTAATTTTCTATAAAATTCTTCTTGATTGTCATTTGGGGCATAGATTGCAATCAGGAGTGTTTTCATATTATTGTCCATTATTTCCACCATTAGTAATCTTTCATCGTCATTGGTATAAATCAATTTCGCTTGGGAGCTTCCATCTTTTGATGAGGTTATCTATCCAGCTTTGCGACAATGTTTCGGAATGCTGCAAATAAAATGTTTCTCCATGGAGCATATGGTGCTATTGGCCCCTTTTTCATTTATATAAGCACAGGCGCCTTCTCCTTCCACTGGAAACCTGCAAAAAAAAAAAAAAAAGGGGGGGGGGGGTTACTACTGTATCTGCATGAACAGAATTAGCATTGCAGGAAGGATACTTTCATGAAGATCCCCAGTTTTTGAGTGTAGGGAACAACAACCAACAATGTAGCCTACATGGTGCAGTGGGTCAACTTCATTATGAAGTCTGGAGTTTATAAAAGTTTTATCCAATAAACATGTCTGGAGGATACATGACTGGGAAAAGCTGGTGTACATATAAATACACACATGCATGAAGTATCCATTTCCTGGCATCTGGAACAACTGCACAGCACATGATGGTCATACCGTCAACTTCACAGAGGAGTAAAAGTCTTGCTGGTCAGGCGTAAATGACATAATAGTCGAAATATGGCAGTTTGTTCTATTATTAGAAGAGATTCCAGAATGTTTTTTAACCATCAATGGAATCTAGAACCTGAGAGACAACTAGCCAACTCTTAGTGAAACTTATGTCTGTCTTACAAATTATTTTCAGACCTCCCTTTACACGTTAAATCTGAATATTATAAGCTGTGAGCACTTCTTAAGTAATTTGTTTAAGCTATATTTGGTTTCCATATATTTGCCCTGAGTCATTTTAGATAGCAAGAGGGGCAGCATATAAATTAGAGGAATAAATAAATAACTCAAATGTAATAATCTGAGCTATTAAATGCTGAGAGAGCATATATGGGGTTTGACAAACACATCAGGAAGTCTACAGCATTTGGATGTTGAAATATAATGTGCAAAAGTAAAATTTTGGTTTCAAATTTCAGTGATCCAGGGGATGTTTAGGCAAGTTCCTAGCACCTCTGAAGTATTATGCTCAGTCATTCAAATTTTGAATTTCAGGTGCATACTTTCTCTCTTTTATCTGCATATTCCAGTTATTTGATTAAGATACTTAATCTGAAGTCCCTTTGATGGAATCTACAATCAGATCCCTTCACAAAATTCAATTGTCTAGTCAGCCTGATCTGATTACTTTTCAAATAAATATGCTTTTCTAAAGGAAGCTAAGGAAACGTTTTGAATTAAGATAATTTTTATTGTCATTTTTTTTTACTGTGACCACACCGGTCCAGATTAAAAGTGAAATTCTGTTTTATATTCTCAAGAGAAAATGTGTATCTATCCAAACACATCCATATGCACATGCTATATACATACATGTTATGTCTCCCCTTTAATTTCAGGTGAGCAAAACAAAATTCAGCCGTTTCAGAATTAACTCAAATCAAAAACAAACCCACACAAGAAACGGCTGGAGTAAATTCCAAAACATAGCAATAAATCCACACTCTGTCCGGCAATCCTGGCGTGGCAGTAATTCACAAGCCTCAGAGAGTTTGCTGCATGTCTTCACTCCATTTAATCACTTTGCTTCTGGCGAATTCCACCAGCCCAGCCGTGTCCTTTTATCCACTTATGGAGCGTGTTAATTTTCCTAATTAGTTACTAGCTCGACGCCTCCTTTCTAACTGAGATTGGCGTCTCAGCCTCCTTCTATTTCTGACGTCAAGCCATAAGTTCTCCAAGTTGTCTTCTCCTCTGGAAAAGTCTCGCATGCCTTCCTTGTTAGCCATTCCCGGCTGCTGCTCAGATAAAGAACCAGAGGAGGTCGAAGGTCCTGACAACTCTAATAAATCAGGTTTATCTCCCCTTGTTACATCCATCTCCTCATCCTGGCTACTATCCAAGTCACTAAGCAATGCCAGCTCATATTTTTCTGCCATATGCTCGTCGCTCGAACTCATATCTGCCACAGGAGCAGATTCCAAACCCGGAGTCACAACACATACATATATACTTGTACTATATATATATATGTGTGTGTGTGTGTATTTATACACGCACGAACACACACACATACCACACACAACTAATCACTGTCCATTGTGAATATGTAATGGAAAGGGGAAACTTGAGAATTCACAAGATCAAGAATTTGAATCAGATCAGGGGTGGCTGATACACCAACACATACAGTATGAACTTAATACATACTCAAATTTGCCATTTCACTACCATGTTTTCCCCAAAAAACGACCTACCCTGAAAACAAGCTCTAGCCCGATATTCATGTCTACACCTAATATAAACCCTATCCCCCAAATATGCCCTAGTTAGACTCCGGCCACTGTTTGGTGGGGCAAGTCGCATGTGTAAAAATCAAGGTGTGGGGGGGTAGAACTGCTCCATGCACCCTGCACCCACTTACCTTAGCAGCCAGGCCTCCCATGCCCTGACACCTGTTGTGCCACTGCTTGACTTCTTGTGTATCTGCTTGTGTCACGTGGCTCATCGTGCCACTGCCGCAGCTCAAGGCAGAATGCCACAAGGCACATCGCGCCGGTGCCAATGCTTGCAGCAGGACACTGTGTGGCTTGTCACACCTGTGGCACATCTTTTTTTTTCATTTTTCTTCCCTTTTTGTGTCTTATTTTTGAGGAGAGAACCTTGATTCTTATTCTTTCAGCCATTCAAACTTTAGTATAATGTGTATAAATGCATCAAAAACAGGTAAATAGCTGTATAAGTTCTACAAATAGATGAAACATACTTACTGATTTGTAAACTCTGTACCATTGGGCCATTTCCAGACCTGATCTTTTTTTGAGAGTCCAAACCAGTAATCACCGGGATTTAAATTTTCCACCAAAAAGTCCTAGGAGAAAGGAAATAATGTATAATAAAATCCTCATTTAACACATTAATTTTGGAAAGCAAGTGTCTATTACTTTTTACCATCTATGGAATACCAAAATACACAATTTGTGTCAAATGTATTTCATTTGTACAAGATCATAATCAACTAAGATAAAATTAATGTATATGTAACTGCCTTGTCAGAACTATTTCAGATATAATGGGCTTGTTATTTTGGGGAGATAACTGCATAAAAATTGGATCCATTGTGTACAAACTCCACTAAAGGAAGAATATTAAATCAAGATTTTCACTGCAATGATATATATCTGTAGTTAAATTTAAAGTGCATTACATAGGACTCAGCACAAATATATTAGTTTCTCTTACTCATAATGATATCCTTCCTTAAATATTTATTAACAACTCATCAAGATAATAAAAATGCTTATGGCAGCTTTTTGCAGATGATGTGTTTATCTGGTTATGTTCCATTAAGTTGATGTTGATTCTTCCTGATCGTTTATTGACCTTCTCTAGCAGGGCCTGTCCCCAACCTTCTAATGGTGGGCCAGTTGCTGCCGCAATTGATCATACATCTTGCAGCTGGTCATCCTCTTTTTCTCTTTCCTTTGACCTTACCCAGATCTATGCATTTATACAGTGTCCAAAATTTAAGCCTGGGTCACAAGGCAAGCTGAATTAGAAAAAATATGGTTTAATAACTGGAGGAAGAAGCATCAATATGTTGTGCTATGCTGATGACATTACCCAGAGAGCCAAAAATGTGAAGGATCTGCATATGCTCTAGTCTAAAATAAAAGTGGAAAAAATGGCATAAAATGAAATTCTATATAAAGAAGGCCATGTAGAAGAACCAGTGTTATAAATGAAAATGAAGATACCGAAGTGGTGGATAGTTTTTGCCTTTAAGGCTCTACTAAGAACTACTGATCAAGAAATGCTCTGCAGACTAGTAATTGGTAAGGCAGCTGTGAAAGCTTTGGAAAGAATATCCAGATGCTTTGGCATGTCTAAGCTTACAAAGATCGCTCTGTGAAGGCAATGGTTTTTCTGTAACACTCTGTGAAAGTTCAACTTTGAAGAAACAGGACAGAAAAATATTGAAGCTTTTGAAGAAAACTCCTGAGAATAATGTCAAGTGCAAACAGGTTCCACACATGAAAGTATAAAATCACTGATTTATAGTTCAGGCCTCCTCCCCCTGGCTCTGCCAGTCTCTCTCCTATAAATACCATAGATATTTAACAAATATGTCATAGAACAAATCAATCCAGAGTTCTTAATTATGCAAACGATTAGACTGAAATTATGTTTTGGATACCACCTGGGCAATTCTACTCATTAGATACACAGCTGGAATAGTAGACTGGACTCAAGCAGAACAAAAATAGGAAAACCAGAAAAATAATGACAATGAATCATGCCCCTCATCCACACAGTGATGTTGATCAACTCTAATCAAGAAAAATAGGTGGACATGGAATGTAGCAAATACACCAGACGTTTGAAGAAGAAAAGAATGCATATATGAGCCATGGTGGCATAGTGGCTAGAATACAGTATTGAAGGCTAACCCTGCCCACAGCCAGGACTTCAATCCTGACCGGCTCAAGATTTACTCAGCTGTCCATCCTTCCAGCTTGGTAAAATGAGGATCCAGATGGTTGAGGCCAATATGCTGACTCTGTAAACTGCTCAGAAAGTGCTGTAAAGCACTATGGAGTCATATATAAATCTAAGTGCTACTGCTATTGCATTGTAAGAATATCTGAAGGACAGGGAGGAAGATAAACTGAAGCCTGTATACCAGAAAGGCCTACTGAATACTGGAGAGAAAAAAACTGGTCTACTAACACAGTCAAGGACGATGAATGATCTAATGCAATCAAGGCCAGAATTGAAAAATTATCAATTGATTGTGTAAAGAGGCAGAAGTAACAGTAGATCATATACTTACCGTGTTTCTCATATAATAAGGCCGGGTCTTATTTTTTTTTGAGCCCCGAAAAAATGGCTAGGTTGTTTTTTCGGGGGTGACTTAATTTCCCCCCCCCCTTGCATCTTTGGGTGGGCGGGTGGCGACGGCTTGGATGTTGACCTTGGCGTTGGTGGGGCACTTCGTATCGGGGTCAACGCAGGCAGCACCATATCCGGGTGTGCAACAAAAGTACTTCCTAACGGCAAGCCCCCCCACCATTCTCCCCCATTTCGCATGTTTTAATATAGGCCTTAATTTGGGGGGAGGGACTTAATTTCATTTCATGCCTATAAAACATGCTGGGACTTCCTATTGGGGGAGGCCATATTGTTGGAGAAACAGGGTAGCTCATGCAAGAAGATCACACATATAAATTATAAACAATGACATAATGCAGTCACCAAATGATTCATTGGAACATATGTAAACATTTTCACGTGCCAGCAGTGAAAAATTGGTGGGAACATAGAGTTGAAAAAGAAGTTGAAAATGAGGTTAAAATATTGCAGGATTTCCATGTACAAACTGATAGTCTTGGCTCATAACACATCAGATTTAAGTGGTTGAAAAGAAGTAAGTTTGATGTGGCAGTATCAGGAGAGAGTAGAAGAATTGGAGATCAGAAAGTATCAAGATCTAAAAATTGAAACTGAAAGATTATAACATAAACCGGTCATGGTGGTTCCAGTGGTTATCAGCAGACTGAGTACCATACCAACAGTGGTGGGATTCAATTTTTTTTGCTACTGGTTCTGTGGGTGTGGCTTGTTTGGTGGGCGTGGCTTGGTGGTCATGTGACTGGGTGGGCATGGCCAACTCAGCAAGGTGGGGTGGCACCTTGCTGCGAGTGATGTCGAATTGGCCACACCCACTCAATCACATGACCGATGCTGCAGAGACAGGGTGATTTCCTATGTACCTTCCACCCCCTCCTCCACTCTTGGGCTGACACAAAAAAAAAAAAAAGCCCAACTAAAGATCAGGACTGCCTGCCGAATGGGTTTTGTTTTGGGGTGGTTTTTGTTTTGTTTTTCGTCAGAAGCCACTCGGAGATAAATTTGCACCACCAAATCTTACTGTACCTCGTTGTTGCGGCGCTGCCTGTTGCTGCTGTGGGCATCTGGCTGCCCAAGTAAAGAACCACACTGGCTCAGGGCGACTCGGCGGAGCAAGAGGGGAAGCCAAGACACTCACCTCACAGCAGTCAACTTCGCTCTCTCTTACTCCGGTTAGGCGCTCCTGGTGTGCACAAGGAGCGTGAAGGGAGGCAGACACCGTGCAGATGCGTTTTAAAAGTCTGAGAACTTTGCCCAAGACTTCTTGTGTATTCAGGGGCTACACCTCTCCCAACGGTGAGTTAGCGGTGATCTAACGAAACGTCTTCCAGCTCTTAAAAGATTGACTTTAAGAGTGCGCCCATGGAAGAAGCCGAGAATGAGAGCAAAAGTAGCGGCGGTGGGGGTGACAGGGGCATGTGATGGGTCCCTCCGCGGTCCCCTTCCTGGTGACAGCCAGGGCTTTGGCACCTCCTCTTTTCCTCAGAGGCACGTCTGCCTCCCTTCACACTTCTTGTGGAGGGACACACAAGCCCGTCACCCCCTACATTTGCTCTCAGTTCTCGGCTTCTTCCATGGGGGCGCTCTTAAAGTCGACCTTTAAGTGGTCCTGAGACATCCGTCCACCTGCCCACCCTCCCGGAGCACTTTCTTCCTTCTCCTGGCAGATGCGCCTCTTCCAGCCCAGCCCGGCTGGCAAGCCAGAAGATGGCCACATGTCCCAGGGCTTTTCGCCCCCCCCTTATTGTGAGATGCCTGCAATTGCTGCATGCTTTTTTCGGTGCAGCTGCAGTCCAACAATCGCACCAAAAAAAGTGTGCCCTGTTCTATGTGCCGGGCCCGGCAAGTCCGAGCAGGCGGTGCATAGAACAGGGCATTGGAGAAGTGGAGCGGAGCCAGAGATCTGTAGCTGCCTCTTTTGCAGCACAAAGAAGCCTCTCCCAACTGGCAAGTCCAAGCAGCCAGCACAGATGGTCTCCTCTTTCTCGGCCTGTTTGTTCTGTATGACCGAGGAGGAGGAGACCAGCCAGCCAAAGGGACTGCTGCTTGAGGCAACTCTTTTTCGGTCTCCAGCCACCTCTTTCAGCACAGAAAGCCTCCCCCAACCAGCCAGCTAGTCTCCTACTCTTCGGCCATACAGAACAAACAGACAGAGAAAAAGGAGACCAGCCAACCAGTTGGGGGAGGCTTCTTGCACTACGAAAGAGGTGGCTACTGATTTCCGGCTCTGCTCTGCTCCACTTCTCCAATGGTCCAGCACCGCCCTGTTCTATGCACCAGCTGCTCAGACTTGCCAGGCCCGGCACATAGAACAGGGCATGGTTTTTTCAGTGTGGTTGCTGTACTGCAGCCACACCAGAAAAAGCATGCAGCAGCTGCATGCATCACACAACAAGGGGGGCAAGAAGCCCCGGGACATCCGCCCACACACCTATTGGCTGGCCAGACTGGGCCGGAAGAGGCGCATCCACCAGGAGAAGGAAGAAAATGTGCTCCAGGAGGGCGGGCAGGTGGGCGGATGTCCTGGGACTGCTGCACATGCACATTGCATGTGTAGTGGCTGCACACTCAGTGCACATGTGCAGCAGCCCTGGGACATCCACCCACCTGCCCGCCACGGCCGCCATGTGGTAGGGAGGAGCTAGGAGAGTGACCGGGATAAGTGAGTGACCGGGCGACCGGGTCAGGGGCGTGGCCAGATGGGTCGCCACCGGTTCAGTGATCCACACCAAAGCACTGCTACCGGTTCACCTGAGCCAGTGCAAACCGGTTGAATACCACCTCTGCATATCAAAAAAATCTTAGAGCTGTGCACTGACATTTCCATCTATCAATTACAGAGGGCCACACTGTTTGGATCCCTCTATATATACAGTATACAGCACTACAAAATCCTGAGGTTCTTAGTAAGAACTTGATGCATATGAAGACCAACACCAGTTTAAAAAACTGGCAGCTTTGGCTTCACATTATTGTGATTAGAGAGTAACAACAACAATAAAAAAATGGAACCATAAAATTGAGAAAGTGGCAGAAAATTAAGAAGTTAAATTGCTCTGGGACTTTAGAATTCAAATGGACAGGCACCTGCCATATAACAGCCCAAATGTAATAACCACCAATCAGAAAGACAACAAAGTATAGATAGTTGCAGTACCTGGAGGCAGCATAATAGAAGAGAAAGAAATGGAGAAAATGAAAAAAATATAAAGAATTTCAAATAGAAATAGAATGACTGTGGAAAAAATAAAGCAAAGGTAGTACCAATAGTCACCTCTGGTGCAACCTGAAAACAATTGGAGCAACATTTAACACTATTGGCACTGATAAAATCACCATCAGCAAATTGAAAAAGGCAATTTTGCTTATAACCTGCAACGACTCCTTTAACACCATAAAAAATCAATATCTGCCTATTCCTTATCCTTGGGAAGAACTTGATGGACAAAAATGCCAAATCCAGTCGAAAAATGTTGCTGAGACTAAAAGAAACCAATAATGATAAATAACTATGACCCACTGGGGTTGCTTTTTAAGAGTGACGTGACAAAAATGAACATTAAATTTTAAGTTGACCAATTTCATTTTTAACCCCAACGCTAGATGGTTACATCATCATCTAAGCAGGGTTTATCTGTCATAATAGAAAAATAATTGCAGTGAAAAATGAACTGCAATAGTACGTCATTATTTAGCTAAACAGATTAATCAGAATGTGTGGATGGGCAAAAAAGCACTAGTAGTGGGAGAGATTCCCAACTTCCTGCTGGCTTCCCCTTTGGCTTTGGTTGCGAGGAGCTGGCAGGGAGCATTGGAAATCATAATTGAAAAAGCTGTGAAGGACATAACTTTGTGAATAAAATCAGCCTGTACATTGTAAGATTTCACAGGAGTAATGGTCCTGGATTTTTTACATATTCTCTAAGTTAGTGGATTTAAGTACCTTGATTCAAAGTTTGTTCCAGTTTGATACACTTTTTGGGCTGATGTAGTATACAAACAGATAAATTGTTTATTGTTGAATGTCAGGACAATTAGTGGATTTTATGTACCTTGATTCAAAAATAGTTCCATTTGGGCTGACACGGGGGGGACAAACAGATAAATTCAATGACAGTTTAATATTATGTAGAAAATAATAAATATAATTAATATGTTTAGTTTTTATATTTGTGAATGCTAGGACAATTATCCAATTGATCATGTTGTCCATTTATTCCTTACCAAATTCTTCTGTGTATCAATCACAACCAAGGAGGCATTAAGTGAGGAACAGATGTCTGAACTCATATGCCAATTTTTTAGCTCTGTATATATATATATTCCACGGAATCTATCACAAATTTCTGGGCAGGCAAAACTTTCACACGGAGCACAGATTGGACAAGATTTCTCTTCTTTACCTGGAAATAAAACAAAATGAGCAAATGTTAAGAGCTTGTAATTAACTACAGTTCTGATGACAAAGTTTGAATAATTAGCATTAAGCTAACTCCTTTAAATTGTAATTCAAGGATTTTTTTTAAAGAAAACCAAGTGAATTAATGCACAAATACATACAGTCCTCACTTATCAGAATTGTGATTAGCTAAGTGGTGCAATTCTAATGTGAAAGGTCACATGACTGTGCCCAAGTTATGACATCAGTTCCTTTGTAAGTTCCAGCTGAAGTTTATTTATTTATTTATTTATTTATTTATTTATTTGTCAAGTGATTATAAAATGGTGTAAGTATAAACATAGTTATGAATACCTGAAATGGATTCATAACAGAAAAAAAACAATAGGATAGGGACGCTAGGCGCGTTGGTGCGCTTATGCACACCCCTACAGACCTCTTAGGAAAGGGGTGAGGTCAATAGTGGAGAGTCTAAGGTTAAAGTTGCTGGGGTTTGGGGAAGAAACTACAGTCGGGTAGAGTATTCCAGACATTCACCACTCTGTTGCTGAAGTCGTATTTCCTGCAATCAAGTTTGGTGCGGTTAACCTTGAGTTTGTCTCTATTGTGTGCTCTTGTGTTGTTATGGTTGAAGCTGAAGTATTGATTGACAGGTAAGTCATTGCAATGAATGATTTTATATACCATACTTAGATCGGACCAAAGACGGCGTAATTCAAGGTTTTCTAGGTCTAGAATTTCAAGTCTGGTGGCATAAGGTATTCTACAACGAGTAGAGGAGTGGAGAACTCTTCTTGTGAAATATTTCTGGACTTTCTCAACTGTGCTAATATCAGATACGTAATGTGGGTTCCAGACTGATGAGCTGTATTC